GGGGGATAAAGGAACGTGAGAAAGGCCAAGAAAAACAGGAATCATCGAGTAAACAACACAGCAAATGTTAACCATTGAATAAGAAGAAAAGGAAAGCAGATAGGTGGGGCCCCAGGAGTAAAGATATTTAAGAGCAGGGCGTGGGCGCTCACGCGGCCAGCGGCCCTCTCACCCCCGGAGGGGCGGCGGCACGCCCGTGACCCCGTCCCTGGACGCGAGGCTGCCTCACAGGCACTCGTCCCAACCAGCTGGAGGCCCAGGAGCCCCGCAGTCTGCGGAACACTGACGCCGGGAGCCCGTCGCCGAGGCAACGACGCCGCCCCGCCCACGCGCCCACGGGACACACCTTTGATTGGCTGGTTCCCGGTGGCTCCGCCCATCCTGCTCCCCAGGGCTCCGCCCCGTCGCCTTACCCGCGCGCTCCAGTCCGCGCCCCCGAGGGACAGGCCTGCCGATGGGGGGAGGGTCACCCTGGTGCCGCCTGCCCCTGGCCGGTGCGCCCGCATTTCCCGTCCGGCTGCCCCATCCCAACTTCCGGTTTCCCGGCTCTCTGGCGGCGCCCGCCTCTGGGCACCGTGCGAGGGGACAGCCGGCGCGGGTGAGGACCGCAGGGTGGACACACACTGCGGGGCGGGACACATACGGCGTCCCCTGTGGGGAAACTGAGGCTGTCTGCGCGCAGGCCCTTGCTGCTGACCCGCTCCCTCTGTGTGACACATAGCGCATTAAATATAAAAACACAAAGAAAACATGCAGCGCGTTAGCACCAAACAACCATTCATCAAAGCAGGGGAAGCAGGTTTCATTCGGTAACTGCTGACAGCAGGGGAAGAGCTGAGCTCTCTCCGACTTGTGCAGAGGTGACCGGGGTTTCCAAGGGAGACCGAGGGAGGGGGAGAACAGGGCTCACTAGAGTCAGAGAAGTGAACGATCACAAAGAGCAGGCCAGCGTGGGTGTGACTAGGCCAGGCGTGTCCGCTGGCAGGTATGGAAGTCAGGAGTCTGGTACTTACAGCCCTTCGTCCTATGGCAGTCTCCCTCCCTCCCTTCCCAGCCCTCAGACTCCCTCCTCTGCGTGCCACGTGGTCCCTGCTCAGAATCTTTTACATTCTTTTTACTCCACTTCGTACGAATAAAATGTAGAGCTGCCATTTGTTTTTACTTTATCTCATCCTTTTAAAAATTCAATTTTTGTGAATGCTTTGTTTTATTTATTTAAATTTCAAATCCAACTTAGTGAACATAGAGTGTAATAACGATTTCAGGAACAGACTTTAGTGATTCATCACTTACATGTAACACCCAGTTCTTATCCCAACACGTGTCCTCCTAATGC